GTCGTAAAAATGTAACTTGAGTGGCTCATGGTATAAAATAGGCTTGGTATGAAAATAAAGAATCTCAGCAAATTCTCTGCTGTTCTAATCGATGCCATTTCTTTGTCATTTCATGTGATATATGATAGGGATAGGTTGAATGACGGACAACTGAAAAGTCTTGTCAGAAATGTGAGCCAATTAGAAAGACGACGAAAACGGTAATAAATTCTGCCGACAGAATGTAGAATCAGAAAATAAGTTATAACTTATTGCGAAGACAATAAAAAACTACAAACTATTTCAAACTACGTCTCTAATCTGTCGGGTCAGCCTGGCGGGGGCTTGGTAAAGGTTAAGAAACTGGGTCGAGAGAAAAGGGCGTTGTCCGTAATTTGATTACGGTTTCTTCGCTAGTTACCAAATTTAGTAAATCTCGATAAAGCAACTAGTATTCTAGTATATCCAATAGGTTTGTTAATGGCAGGAGAAGGCTAAAGATGCCAGCCAATCAAAATGAAGATATCTTATGGAGTGTTCTTTTGATTATCGGCAGGCAGATGCAAGGATAGTTAACAAAAACACAGAAAAAGTCTAGGTATAATCTAAAATTATAGCTCCTCTTATCTGATATATAAAGCCCAAAGTTTGTGTCTGTTCGAGACCATGAAAATTAATATATATATATATATATATATATATATATATATATATATATATATATATAAGTTGTTTATTTAAGCATTTCATACCACATCTCAAACGATACTAATAGAAAACATCGTTCCTGCTTTCCCTTCCGAGGCCAATGTACTGATAATGAGGGGGTGGGCTATGCTGGTGATATAGGCAGTCATAATTGGGATAACAATGATCTTGAACAAAAAATCAACATTATCTACCAAATGTTCCCAGAAATATGACTCAAGATAAATCTTTCCCAAAACAGAAACTATGATCTGGAATTGGATTAAATAGAATGATGGTACATACACCGAATCCATGATAAAAATCAAAATGGCAAACTCCTCAAATACCTCGACGCATGGATCAGTTATAATAATTTCAGTATAGGAGATAAATAAATATGACATAAAATAGGCTGTTTCGCATTAACATCGCAAATTGGCACAAAACCAATATATTGACCTTATACTAGAGTTATGTTCTTAAATAGCCTCGTCATATAGATGCCATGTATAACACCAAACTCGTTCTGAAATATCTAAGTACCTGTAATCAACCGCTTTCTCAGATCAATTGTTAAAAATTGTTTCATGCAAGTGAAGAACACTACTTATGGACTGGTGCCTCAGAATCACAAAGAATTGTACGAAATAAGTACTATGAAATTTTCACTTTGCAGATAAATCAATAAATCTTAATGGTTAGAGTGTCCGATTATAAGGCATAAGATTTTACATTCTGTTCTTTATGGAATTATTATTATTATTGTTATTATTATTATTATTATTTCCCTACTCCTACTCCACGTTGGGTAAGTAACCTGATGTCTCTCCTTGTCCCTGTGATATATTCTGTAAATATCAACACATCACTACAGGACTGTTGACAGCAGCAATTAAAGTGTGGATAGCACATATAACTTAAACAGAAGATAATGACATAATCAAGATGGCGACATTCCACGCTACTTCAAACAAAAGGTTAGTAAGGAAACTCTATCAATACTGAAAAGAGCCCTAAAAGTTAGTAGACTTGAGAAATTTCCTGAAAAATTTTCCTGAAAAAAATTGTTTTAATAGTAAGATTTGATAAATTTTAATCGAAAGTAGCACTGGTTGCTTGGTCAAATGTTTCCTTATAATGGAAACCATTACCATTATATGTCTCTCTCTCTCTCTCTCTCTCTCTCTCTCTCTCTCTCTCTCTTTATATATATATATAACTTTTGTTATTGATTGGAAAGGAATTAATCTATCTAAAGGATTTTTGTGAATGGACAGCAGAGCAGGTTAAAGGAGGAATTATGAAGAGTCACATGTTGATTAATGTTATAAGCAACAGGAAAATGACCTATCTAATGAGTTTGTCTAAATTATGAATAGTAGATCAAGGTCAAGGAACAATTATAAAAATGCTTGCTTTGAGCTACAAGAGACATAAAGTTGTGGAGAGCAATGATCGCTCACTTTAGTTTTAAGGTGTGCTGGACGCAATTGTCAGGCCACCTAACAATTGCTTCCAACCTGAAACCAGCCTAGCCTATCGCCTCTGAGTGTTGACTTCAATGTCTTATATATATATATATATATATATATATATATATATATATATATATATATATATATATATATATATATATATATATATATATATATATATATTATATGAAAGTGTACTTGTGAGAAGTTAAAACAACGTTAAAAAAGTTAAGCAACGTCGAGCCTGGTCAGTACTTAGATGGGTGACAGCTTGGGAATAACAGGTGCTCTACATTTGGATGTGCATGTGATATAATGGATAATGGTACGGAATTGTTGATCGGACAACCGAGTTCCAATTCCAGTTGGGTTTGTTATATTCGCTTTCGCGCCATTAGCCTTGGGAAATGTATGAATCTACCTCATCTCCCTTACCTATGGGTTAATTAGTAAGACTTGTATCACCATTATTATCTCAAAAAATAAATTGCGTACAAAATATTTAGATTTCGGCATTAAATAACTCATAGAGATGTCGATATGCCGCCAAACAAAAAACATCCAACCAACCGAATCGCAATAGTTATTGTTGACTGATAACTCTTGTTCGGTGTACCATCGGAAAAACGCCATGTTTGCGTTTCTGTATATGCACGCCGGTGTTTATGAGCTCAAAGGAACGTCTGAATGATTTGTTACTGTGTTAGAAGGGCGAATTCCTATTTATTATTAGATATAGATAATGTAGGCGTGGAAGATGTGCGAAAACTAAAAACAAAGAAAAATGTGTACATCTTATCATTTTTTACGCGATCTTTTTCAGGGAGGCGTGTCGTTCTCAGCTGACTTATAAAACTGGTAACTTTAGCGAGAGGTGTGAATACAGATATTGTCATTCTTCGACTAAATGCTGAAACGTCGCCATCTTGAAGCCCTGAGAAACAAAAGTCTTTTGAATAACCTCTGATAAAACAAATCTGACATTTATATCTGTACGAAGACAAAGAATACATTTTTATGACATTGATAACAGTAGCGAGATGTTTATCAGAGGTAGCCGAGAGATTCACTTTGCGGATAAATCTTAGTGGTTAGAGTGTCCGATTATAAGGCATAAGATTTTACATCCTGTTCTTAATGGCATTCTTCTTCTTCTTCTTTTTTTTTTTTTTTTTGCCTTCTTTTCCTCATCAGGAATCAAAGAAATTTCAGGTTTCGCTTTCTTATTCTAAGATTAAGTGACCTTTTTGTTTCCATTTTCCTTAAAACTTTTTTCTTGCTCACACGTAAGGGTTTCGTCCCCACCCCCACATATGATACGCTCTCTCGAATCTATGATACGGAGACCTCACCAACTCTATGACATCTCAATTTTCATATGATAGTATACATATAAAAAGCAAATTTTACTGTAGCCTGATTATGTACAATAATGAATCATATGCAATAAAGGTGAACAATTCAAGTAGAAAAATTGAAAACAAATACAATGTATCTAAATACAAATTAGTGACATGTCATTCCATCTTAAATAATTCAACACTTACAAAAAAGTGGGGAAAAATGGGTCAGAGAATGTATTTTATATTTTGCTATACTTGTGCATCTTACAAACATATACTCTCCACCATCTGAAGAAAAATTGTTGATTGCCAATAGAAACATAATAAATATTTGCTTCATTATAAGAAGCATCTACAGATAGAATATTTTTACTAAACAATTTCTAAATTTATAGCTATGTTCACTAATAATCAAGGTTGGTGCAAAGGTCTCATCCCCCGCACCGAATCTATGGTACCCCTACCTCACAGTCTATGATATGGGGGGACCCCCACTCTACTACATCTCAATCATAAGGTAGAATTCTTTAAAATAAAAATTTTATTGTAACCTAATTATACATATCTGCAATATAGGTGAACAATTCAACTAGAAATATTGAAAATAAATACACTGTAGCTAAATAAAAATTAGAGACATGTCATAATAGATCATTCCATCTTAAATAAGTCAACAATGTTTTGTGGCAATTTTTAACATCAACTTGAGATTTTTCATGTTAAAATGTTGAATTTTAATAGATACATTATTATGGATGAAAAATAGTGAAATTATACAGTGTCTTTGTTTTTTTCGTTTTTTTTTTTGTTTTGTTTTTTGCTTTTTTTCGAGACTTAGCATGATCCAAACAAATTCAGCGATTTGGACGAACAAAAAAAGACCTCGGAATGACGTCAAAATCCACGAAAACTTTTCATCGTTTAATAATCAGTTGTGTTTAGTTTAATTTGTAATGTATATAAATGTAGGTAGAAAAAAATCAAATGTTGATAAGATACAAATCTCTGGCAAGGGGGCCCTTAATAAGTAGAGCGAAAGAGAAAGAGAGAGAGAGGGGGTCGGACAATATCCTTTTGGGCAGTTCGAAATCAAATAGTGCTTACATTCATTCACATTTAATCCATAGGAGAATTTCTTCAATATTGAGTGAGGATCTCATTATCGGACTCTCTGTTAATGTTTTGATTTCAAAACACACTAAAAAGCTTTCACTATTTAAGAAAAGGATGCTTTCGTAACTCCTTCAGGTTATCGGGCCAAGTTGTTATCTGGTGATTGAATAAGCCTTTGAATTATACCGACACATGTACCATTTGAAATTCGACTTTCAGCAGGACTCAAGTCCACTATCTCCTAATATCCCAACTACAAAAATTATCTCTCTCTCTCTCTCTCTATCTATCTATCTATGTATCTATCTATCTATCTCTGCCTCTCTCTCTCTCTCTCTCTATATATATATAGAGAGAGAGAGAGAGAAAGAGAGAGAAAGAGAGAGATATCTCTATGTACAGATAGATAGATAGATAGATAGATAGATAGATAGATAGATAGATAGATAGATAGATAGATGAAAAGAGAGTGAGTGAGATAAACCAGATAGATAGATCAAAGGGAGCAAGAGAAATGAATATACCAGATAGATAGATAGATAGATAGATAGATAGATAGATAGATAGATAGATAGATAGATAGATGTAAATATAAAATTGCACAAAATGAGTGCTGGTGGTGATAAAAAATTACCCGATGTGGGGGGGGGGATATAGCTGAAAGTTATATTAATAATAAATATATATTTATTCTTCACGGTTTGATACAACTCTGAGTTTCATGCACGTAACAATCGTCATGCACGAATTGAAAACTGACTATTATACAATTTAAATATTAATCTTTATAACCTATTGTTAAGATAGTGGACTAGTCCATTTACTTAGATAGATAGATAGATAGATAGATAGATAGATAGATAGATAGATAGATAGATAGATAGATAGATAGATAGATAGAAAATGAGTGACTGAGTGAGTGAGGGAAAGGAGACTAGCTGTGGTCATTTCAACAGAACATTAATATCAAATTGAATCTCCATGGAATGTCCCAAGCCTTGTAACCTTATGTCATTCTTAGCAATGCTTAGTAAGTGCTAATATACAGAAAATGAGATAGTATAAACAAACTAGGGGTAGCTTTAGTAACTATTCTAGTTTAACTATCCACAGGTACGATAAAAAACGATATCTCAACTCATCAAGTGATTTTGACTAACTATCCAGCGACCTAGCTGGATATGTATGAACATAGATAGATAGATAGATAGATAGATAGATAGATAGATAGATAATGAACAGATTAAGATAGATAGATAGATAGATAGATAGATAGATAGATAGATAGATAGATAGATAGATAGATAGATAGATAGATAGATAGATAGATAGATAGATAGATAGATAGATAGATAGATAGATAGATAGATAGATGCGAAGTGAGTGACGGGTGTCTCATTCTAATGTTTAGTAAGTTTGTCTCCCATTCCATTTATATTATAGAGGGTTAAAATCCTTAGTGAGTGCTTCACGCAAATAGCCTTGTACCATACTAAAGTAAGCTTAATAAATATCAATACTGAGATAGATATGTACACACCCAAATAGATAATTTAATTGAAGAAGGTATGAGCAAGCCAGCTAATGAATTCGGAATTCCTTTGTTTGATTTCCAATACTGACCGCTGCTGCTAAATTCCAGATCGTTACTGATCTGTTCAACGAATCACCTCCCATCAGGTGAGGCATTTATATTCGACTACATTAAACCAACCACACCCAAACATGGTCATGCTTCCCAGGTCAACATAGCTCCGCTTTTAGCAAAGATAAACAGTGTTAATGTTTATTGCCTTGGCACCGGGGCTACTATTTTCTAAACTTCTTTCATATCTATTCTTCACACCACCACAAATAACAAATACAGAACGATACTGTTTGGCCAACCCAATTTTAGCAAAGAATACTTCAGTTCTATAATTCTGGCGTCTCCGTCGAACTTCTGAAATTTTATTTATTTTTCCTCAATAGGTGTAAATTGGTTCACTTATCGTCCTGGTTCAGGATCATCCTCCTGGTCTTTTGAACAAAAATAGAGGTTTACACTATTTACATTATTCAGCTTATTGTCCTCACCTTTGTCGCCATGTTTATCACAACGTTTCGGCCGTTGTACGGTCCATCCTTCTTCAGGTGGTTAGAATGTCGAACTGAACCCTTTATTTCGCTCACCGGGATAGTCTGTTCTAGTTCCACGTGCCATGTCTAATGGTTGTCAGTTATCTCCTGTTAATTCCCCTCTCAAAGTTCTCCACCGCCTTAACCAGGTATTGAATTCACACTTGAGGACACATGGCACAGTGGATAAAGGCTTTAGTTAGATCCAGTGACAGGTCTCAAAGAGTGTGAGTTCAATACCTGGTTAAGGCGGTGGAGAACTTGGAGAAGGGAATTAACAGGAGATAACTGACATCCATAAGACATGGCACGTGGAACTAGAATAGTCTACCCCAGTGAGCGAAATAAAGGGTTCAGTTCGACATTCCAACAATCTGAAGAAGACTGAAGCGTACAACAGCCGAAACGTTTTGATAAACATGGCGACAAAGGTGAGGACAATAGTTCGAATAATGTAAATAGTGTACATAATACCTCATCTCAGTAATATAGACCGATACGAAATATAGAAGTTTATCCATTGTTTCCTGTTTAGGATTGTGTTTCCGGTTCCTTCTACTTCAATTCTATACTTCCAACGTTTCCGCCTTATCTGTCAAATTTTATTTACTATTTTTTTTTCTCGATAGGAGTAGATCAATTAATACAGACAAACCTCTCATCTACGGACCTCCTATCAACGGACTTCGGTTGCAACGGACAAAATCTTCAGTCAAAATAAAAAAAAACTTCCAAATCATCAGCGATGTATTTCAAACTTTGTGGGCTTAGCGGAAGGAGTCGTATTAGTTCTCAAAGTGACCGATGGCGGCGGTGGCCGGCCCTTCATTTGTAAACAAAGACGGAAAGTACGATACATTAGCGCGTGCGTGAAAAGGTAGCTAATTGAAATCTATTATTTTTGTTATTTTAATTAATATATTTAATTGTTCTGCCCTCATCATGCAATCAAAGCAGAAGGAAAGTGTGTCGATATCTGATTCTCTGGGAATGACATGCCAGTTCACTCAGTGACGTTGTCAGTCTGTTTTTTTTTCTCTCTCTCTCTCTCTGCTACATCTATTGTCTAAAGTGTACCACCCAGGTTCGTTACTTGCACTTACGTGCAAATACTATTCGGAGATGTATGAATCCATCACGTCCCAGTTGTGGGTTAAATAGTAGGAAGTGTATTTGGAAAAATAATATTTATTCTAAAAAAAAAATGCAATATTCATTCGCCAAAGTGAGAAAAATTCTTACAATTCAAAATATTTTTCGTTTTTAAATAACCTGTCGGAGTTAGCTCCTCCTTAATTCCCTAATAGTTCACTAGGGGACGCTCTCCATACACTATAAATACTGGGTAACTTCTTGCCTCGTTCTCTTTTCTACTTTGTATTTCAGCGGACACATTTAAAAATTTGATCTCTCACGGGAATCAGCGTTTTCGCCCACTTATGGGAAAACGCCATGAAACACGCATACCCGTATGCACGAACATGCACCCAAAATACAAACTCTTTACGAAAAAAATGTTAATGTCTTTGACACTTGTAAATTTGTTGTTTAATACATGTATTTGTTGACATATATATTTCGGTCTTGTTTGTTTTCTTTACATCTTCAGTTGGACTCAACTTGAGTCCGCCATTGTTCTTGTGGTTGAAACTTCTAGAAGGAATAAACAGCACGTGTTCCTAATTCAACAACACGCAAATACACAACGGTCCTCTGCAAACCCACTAAGAGTTGAATAGCTGTCAAAAATCAAATCAAATCAATTAATGCCTAAATTGAACCTTCTAGGTTGGCAGTGGAAATATTTTTGGCTCTTATGACGTTTTTGTACTATTTCATCTTTCTTTTCTTGATGGTGGTTATGAGGTTTTCCAATGAACTTGTTTCTTGCCTGATGGTGTCTTGTAAAGCGTACTTGTGAGGTGGTCTGCTGTAGCAATATCAGTGTTAACCGATATCTGATTAAATAGAAAACAGCTGACCTGTCACAAAAAATGAAATCAGGCATTTATTTTCCCGATGGTTATCAATAAGTGAAGTAGTCTTTACAAGTACATAGCAAGCAGACAAAGAGTCATTGAATGAAAATAATTTACTTTTGTAGACAAAGATGACTTGACAAAGAACAATGTCCTCTATAAGACAGTGGTTACTGCCCACAGAACACTAGAGCGACAGCGAGGGCCCACGCAGAACGATGTGAAAGGGAAGATGCCTGTTAGATTGTTCTTCTTCCTCCCTCACCCACACTTCGCTCGTCTTTAGCAGCAGGTTACAACCCGAAAATAAAATCTGCTTTCTGCTACAAATTCTCATGGTTTTATTTCGTGGGTAATGATTTGGTTTGAGCTGCAACGCTACACTACGTAGATGTCGAGAATGGTTCTGTAGCATTCTCATATCAGATGCTTGGCTTCTTCGCAGTAATTCTTCTGTCAATGACCAAGATTCACAAATACACAGAAAGATTGAGAAGGCCAATGCACGCAATTGTCTGATCTTTGATTTCAAGTAGACGTTCTACTAAATTGCTTTCCTCAAATTGCAAACCCCGCCCTGACGATATTGTTCACTTGATCTCCTCACAATTGGTGAATACAAGACAAAGTGATAAGATGATCACCTGGTAAATGTATATAGCAACAACGTCTATTTTCTCGACAATCATTTTGTTATAAGTTTTTCCACTTTTCTGCAAATGAACATCTGATACTGTTAAAACAGTGGGGATCGGCTTAGATAACATTCCAGGCTCATACTGATACCAGCCTTCGTACAATTTTACAAAATTTCCTCTTTTATTGTTTTAGAATATCACGTTCTATCACGATGGACACATCTGTAAATTATTATAGTAATTGTTTTACGTGTATTTTTTACATTGATGCGTTTATATATTAAGAAATGGACAAGGTCCGACAATTTATTCATTAAAGACAACGTTAAACATAAAAATGTCTTTAATGAATAAATTGTCGGACCTTGTCCATTTCTTAATATATGACGTCATTTGTTTACATTTGATACGCCAGAGCAGTTATAAATGTACGAGATTCATGGAAGATTGAAGTTTATAAGCAGTAAATTCGACCTTATCTACCGAACGATTCTTTGTGGCCGATCGGTAAGGCACGTCAGCGTAAATGACGGTTCCGTATAGGATGCAGGTTCGAATCCTGTCAAAGAACGAATATTTTCTATGAAAATTGCTCGGACATTCAGGCCGGTAAATGTTATTTAATACTGTTTATCATAAACAGAGCATTTACTTAAATACTTGTATCTATAAAAAACAACGTTAAACATAAAAATGTCTTTAATGAATAAATTGATGTGTTTGTTGTAATTTTCATGCTACGCGAGTATTTTTCTATATAGACGACGTGCAAGGACAAGGAGAAGCGAGAGTTTAAATTTGAGGTCCAGTTGTATCTAAAATTTAAACTTGTTTTTTCGACGAGCTTTGCTAAATTTTTTTTTTTATTTCTACGCTAATCCCTTGGAGAAAGGCATGAATCCAATCCTCCATGTACTTTGTCTCATTGCTGTTTTTTTATGAGATTACCACTACTACTGATTAATGGCCGATGAAGAAAGAAGTGCTGAGAGAATTATCTGCGTTATATGTAGAAATGATACATTTGCCACTTTAGTTCTCAAAAATGAGAATTAATGTCATCACCGATAATAAAATGGGGGGTACCGGTGGGGTAGGATGGATTCTTGACCTTCAAATTGTTTGTTATAATGGAAATGAATTTCGCAAGAAACCCTTTTTGCGATGTTCGTGTTAGAACACCTCCAAAATGAAATTCCTTACTTTTAATCCCCACAGAGAACCATTTTAGCCATCCAACAGCATAACTGATGCTAACCTCCAGGATTGCAACTCATTACGCCATCTTGGTCTCACGACAAGAAGCCGAATGATAAAATTGAATCAATCGCTAGGTCTACTGCTAGGAAGCTTATTTCACTTGCCTTATGCCAGACAATTCTTCTCGTTAGAATCCATCTTGTACATTTACAAATCTACCATTCGTCCGTGTATTGAATATTGCTGCCAATATCTGATCTGGTGTTCCGGTTTATATATCTCGAGATTCTGGACAAAATTCCTAAGAAGGGTCTGTAATGTTATCGGTCCTGACCTGGCATCTCGACTTCAGCCACTTTCGAACCGCTGTGGCGTGACTTCTCTCTGTCTTTTCGATAAATATTTTCATGACAGTTGTTCTAATAAGCTCTTATCCTTGGTACCTCGTCTGCATGAATTTAAGCG